GCTTTGGTGCGGAACCGAGGAGAGGTTTGACGCCGAGGTCTACTTTAATGAGCTAATGGGAGCTGCTGAACCTTTCTGCTCTATCTGCTCCTTCTTCTGGCCACCAATGGTATTTTACGAAGTGCATATTTTGTTCTTTACTCCTGTCACTGCAATCTTGTGGAAGCTCGACCAGTATTTTTCGAAATAAAAATTATTTGTTAAGTACATTGAAAACGGGGATGATTGGGGAACCTTATTAGCACCAGTATCGCAGTAGTAACTAAATAACTTGTGTAACTAGGACACCTCTTAATTTTGCATTTCTGACAAGGTGTGAAAGCAGAAATGTTATCTTTTCGAAATGCCGTAATTCAAGTATTTGTTTGATTGAGAGTGCTATCTTCTGTAATACCAGACTGAACTACTGCAATTTCCGGAGCACTCTGCTACTATTGCGAGACTCAGAAAAGCGCGTATCTTTTCACTTGTGTCCATTAATCGGACTACTCTTTTGCCGTTGTCTCTAGTTGAAAGCCCACAAAAACTTGTATATAATCTGAGTAGTGGCAAATTTTCGAATTCTGGGGTTTATGCATGTATAAGAAAGATGTGGCTAATTGCTTAATGGGTTTGATAACTGCCGCTTGTTCGATTAGCCCTGACAACGAACTCCTGTGTGAGTTTTAAATTTCAGAAGAATAGAAAGATTTTGGTACTGGACCAGTCTCCGTGTTCTTTACCTTCTAATTTTGTTTACAATTGATGAATAAACCAAGAGTAGTGCTCGAACTATTACCTTTATTAGGTTTAACCGACATTTTAAATTCACCTCATTGATTTGAGCACTAATTTCTCTCTAGTGAAATCTGCCAGTCACTTATGGACCGATAATTTTTATTGCCCCAACACTGGTACTGATCAAAAATTCAAATTTTTATTTATGCTGCTGCTGCTCGATTTAAGTGTGTAGCACTGCAATTCTATTAGATAACACAAAAGAACCACGTATGCGAACGCCCTAGGCAGTTTCCTTTCTGCTCACTAGTCAGCAGTCTCCTAACTGCCTGCTCCCCTCAATCTGGGCACCAGGTGCATGATTCCTTTATGTACCCTGCTATGTTTAAACGCAAGCCCCATATTTATTACTCTATTCCAGCAAGCAAACGCTTCCCAGAGTCAAGGGACATCCTATTTTTGTTTTGTGGAACGTTTTGTGATCATTTTGGAACCCTTGATCGTAAAACATCCGGTTTAGCAAACAACGCTATTCAAAGTACAACCTTGCATCACGCAACCGCAGAATCACGATCTATGTAGTAGTCTAAGCTGGAGACTTGTTCCCGTGTTTGGAGCGGGAGCAAGTAATTTTCTAATAATCTGCTTGTTTCACATAGGTATTTTTAGTTTACACCTGGAGGCAGCATTAGTTTAAGTAGCGCACGTCATCTGCCGCTATTCCTGACACTTTATCCTACGAAATGGTGGTTATAGGGTTCTATGGGTGGGGAATTAGGAGAGGCAGTGGAATATACTTTATTAGCTACTATCTGCATTTTTATTTTATTTTATTTAGAAATGTTGTTGATTTATATCTGTAGATTTCCATAATCTGTATTACCCCTTAACGTATTGCGGAAAAACCCGATTATTAAAATGCAAGTTTCTTGAAATTCCCGGAAAGATAGATATGCTGGTTAGGAGGTCGTCTACTTCAACTTACCGTTCTGGAGTTATATTAATGTAGTCCGCGGCGCGAAGCGCCGCGCACACCTCCACTTTACATGCGGAACAAATTACTTCTAGTGGCCACGGGAAACAAATTCAAATAAATTTTTTCCACTTTCCACTTTTGCAAATTTTCTTTACTGCCTATCCTATTTCCCCACCCGCGAAACTCCACATAACCACCGTTTCCATAGCACCAGATGCCGGACTAGGGGTATATGAGGTGCACTACTTAAACTACTTTTGTCCACCTGAATTTGCGAAGAGAAACTTGTGACCAAATGCGAAGCATCTTGACTTCAATTTCACTTATTCACGTTGGGCAACCTGTCAATAAACCCAATTTAATCCGCAGTTGTATCACTCGACACATGCATTACGTTTTGGATAGCCTACATTTAGAGAGTATGCCGAAGCTATCCTCACTTCGAAAGAAGGATCTCACTCGAATTATTTATGTGTTTAACCGGTAACGCGTGATTTTTTTAGGAGTAGTTAAACCAAATTTATTTTTGAGTCGTACGTTGCGTTGTCTTTGCTAATTGCATATCCTGGAGTTTCGTTTCTTAATTGAGACCTGCCAAATTACTTTACTAGCACTTTCTTAGAAGTTTTCAGTCGTGAGCCTGCATAAGAATCTGTGTGACTTTCAGGACATAAAGTCGAAAAAAAGAACATCCTAGACTTTTCGCGTCTCATCTGCACCTTACATGCTCTTCGAGCTCAACAAGACACTTTCTGTCTTCCGCTAATAGCCAAGCAAGTTTCGACTGTAGGCGCTTTTTATTCCCAAGATTGCTACCTCCACTTCGGCGACCATCATGTTGAAAATGTTTTTTTCTTTTAGCGGTTATGTTTGCCCCCCTTGTAACGTTGTTTGAGTTTTGTGGTTTCCTTTATCTTGCATCCCTTGAGCTGCTGCTTCCCTCATTCGCTAACATTGGGAAGATTCATATACCCCCCTCCCCCAGACGGAATGTTTCCAGTAGTCAATATTGTCTTTGGCATAGTCCTAATATTATAGTCCTATTATTCATTTTAAATTTAGATTCTCGATGCTATGCCATCTGCACTAAGGTTTGTGCTCCCTAGAATTTCTTTATATAAATATATATTTGCACATTTATTAGAATGGCGCTCTAATATCCTATACGCTATCTATATATATTTTGGGGTTTAATCCCTACTGGTGTT